GACTGAAGCCGAGTCTTCACCACTGCGAGGGGGCATCTGGGTCAGGGGAGGAGCCCACCCGGGTCCCCCCAGCCCGGCCCTGGCCTCCTCACTGACCATCACAGGGGTTTACAGCCACGGCGGCCATGCTCCCCGCCGCACAGCCTGCCAGGAAGGACACGTAGAAGGGCGACTTCTCCTCGGAGGCCGGGCGGCCCAGCTGGTTCAGGTTGGCAAAGAGGGGGAAGTAGACAATGGAGAAGGGGACGTCCCTGCGGGAGGCGAGGTGGCGGTCCTCATGGGCACGCTGCGCCGCGCGGGCGGCACCCCTCCCCCACCCTCCCAGCCCCCCACCTGAGCAGCGTGGCCCCCAGGCCCTTGTAGAGGCCAGCAATGCCGTGGCTCCGGAGCAGTTCGCGGGTCAGCCGCATGGCTGTGGGCCGAGGAGCAGGCGGGGCCTCTGCCGAGGGCTGGGCTCCTCCCTGGGACGCAAGCTGTGCTTCGGCCAGAATCTTCCTCTGGGCAGCTGGTGAGAAAGAGGTTCTTGTCTCTTGCTGCTGGCTCAGGGCAGGCTCAAGAGACAGAGTCCAGTGGCCTCCTCCTGGCCCGGTCCTCCCAGCCCGGTCCTCCCGGCCCCTCACCAATGCGGCCGGCGTCCTGCAGCTGGATCTTCAGCATCTCCATGGGGGTGGTCACGATCACCTGGCAGGTCCCCGCCCCGCAGCCAGCCAGCATTTCCTTGGGCAGAGTCAGCTTCTGCCTGCGGGTGAGGGTGAGGGTCGTGAGGAGCCGCAGCCGAGGGGCTCACAGGAGGCTTACCAGACGTGGCTTCCAGGGGGAGGGAAGGGGTGGAGGTGGCGCAGGCCCGGGCGCGGACGGCCTTCTACGCCAGCACCGCGGGCGGACGGCGAGGCCATCTTCTCACAGAGAAATGAAGACTTTGGGTTGATTGCGCTGAGGAGCAGTGTTGACCCTCATGTGCCAGTAGTGTGGTGGCTGGCTAGTGCCCCCCAAATCCTGGCAGCTGAGTCACGGGGGAGGGGAAGGACAGCCGACTCGGCAGCTGCTTTGCACCTCCCCACACAGGAGCAGGACGTTGCCTCCAAGGGTGGGACACCCCGGGACTACTGGGGTGATATCTCTCCCCAGGACCTCTCCCCTAGGACCTGGGGCCCCAGCAGCCGGTCAGTCCCAGCCCTCACCCGTCCTTCGAGAGCTGATGACGGAAGAAGTCATTGGCCGCTAGCTTGATGGCCTTCTCTGGGGTCACCAAGGTCAGGTTCACGGCAGCGCCTGTGGGGACAGAGGGTCAGACGGGCCTGGGAGGCGCAGGCAGGCCGGGCGGGGGCAGCTGTGCCCAGCGGCTTGGGCTGGGGAGGCTGTGGGCCAGCACCTGCCTGCCAGTTGGCAAAACCGTGCCCAGCACTCCTTGGCCGCCACCCCCTGCCCTCTCACCCACATATGGGCTCCTCCTGTGCCGGGCGGGAGGGACCGTGCTGCCGCCCCTCCCTGCGCTCTCCTCCTTTGGCACGCCTCCCCTACTCCCCCACATCACCCTCTCCTGCCTTCCTCCTCCATCTGTCCCCGTGCTGGCAGGCGGGGATCAGGCCCCCAGAGGCCCAGCAGGGCCACCCCAGAACACCTCCTTCCTGATAGACAGAAGGTGCCCTCACTGGCAGAGACCTGGTAGGGGCTAGAGCTGGGGGTGGGGTGCGGTGGGGTGGCGGTGGAAGGCTTCTGCTGGTGGTCAGTGCCAAGAGCTCAGGACTACACAGCATCCAGGAAAATCCAGGCTTAGGATTGTTATCTAAGCTCCTGGGGTGAGGCCCCCACCTCCCCCAGCCTCTGAGCACAAATGTAGGTCCCCTGGTCCCAGAAGGTAGGGGAGGAGACTCAAGTCACCGGGGTGGGAACACAGATCCTGCCACACCAGGCATTGGGTGTGACAGGGTGATGACCAGGGGGCTGGGACCTCCCACTGACCAACCCCTTGGACAGCCAGCAGCCCCCTGCCCAAGGCTGGGCTCATGGCCCAGCACCCCACGACACCCACATTTACACAGGATGGACAGGCTACCACCCCACCCTTCCCTCAGCCGGACCTGCCCATCCGATCCTCACCCCGGTACATCCCGAAGTAGCCCTCGGAGCGGATGGTCTTGATGAGGCAGTCAGACCTGCAACCAAGGGCTGGATGAGCAGAGCCTGGCCTGGACTGGATCCCCGTCTGGACTGCCCAAGGGGTCAGAGATCAAGCCAGAAGCCCAGCCTGAATGGAAGCACCCTCAGGCCCGCCCTATCTCGCCCTCAGTTTCCCCTTTATGTGGGCAGGGGCCACAGGCACAGAGCCCTGAGGTGGAGCCCCCGCGTGGCCGCGTCACGCTGGACACTCACATGCTGGCGTACATGCGCTGGCCATTCTGCTGGCTCTGCAGGCGGGTCTTGGCTAGGTCGATGGGGAACACGCAGGTGACCCCGATCAGCCCCGCGATGCCGCCGTTGATGAGCTTGGCGGGCAGGCTGTGTGCGCAGGGGCAGCGTTAGGACCCATCCCCTCCACTCGGGGCTGGGGGTGGACGGCGAGGCCAGGACCCAAGCCCGTCCCAGCTGACCTGATCTGCTTATCAGCCATTTAACTGGGCTGGCGGGGCAGAACGAGAGGTGGAGGCCCGGCGGAGAGGGTAGTGGCAGAGGCAGCTGCTGCTGTGGCTGAGGATGGATGGGACCGAGGAGGGGGGTTGTCCTCCACCTTTAGGGGAATTTCCAGGTGTCAGCCACCTGGAGGGGAGAGGACAAAGCCACCGTGCAGCCCCCCTGGGCCAGGCCCTGCGCGTGGCTAGGGATGCAGAGGGGAGGCCACCCACCCTGCAGCCACCTGCTTTCCCCCCCAGTGCCTCCCGGGGCAGGGCTGGGCATCACAGGCCTCCCACCGGCCACCTCGCCGCGCGCACGCGCGCACACACACGCACGCACGCCCATGCTCACGTGCACACGGGACCAGCGCCAGCTTTTAAAGGGCCAGGTGCTGCGGAGACTGCCCCCCCCCCTCGAGCTAGGCCAGGCAGGGGGGTCCGGCCCTGCTCAGGATGGAAACTGGGGTCCCCTTCCCGCGGCCCCAGGGCCCCGCCCTGGGTGAAGCCCACGCCTGCCCCGCGGGGCCGACGGCCCTCCCTGGAGTCCAAACCACGCGAGGCCCATCCCGCGCTCCCCTCCCCACTCCCCGACGGCCCATCCCGGCTCCTCCCCACTCCCCGACGGCACGGGGTGGGGCGGGGAGGGGGCACCGCTTCCACGAACGGCAGGCTGGGGAGTCAAGAGCCAGCCCCGGGGCTCGCACGTGGGCGGGTCACAAGCCCGGGGCCCGGGGCCTCCTCGGTGTGTCCCCCCCCACGGTCCCCAGAGAGGTCAGCTGTCCAGCCAGCAACCATCCTCCATGCAGCCGCCCGGGAGCTCCAGGGGCCCTGTGACCTTTACCCCGCTGGGCTGCCCAAGGCCTGCCCGGGCCCGGCCACCCTCCGCGCCCCGCCGGGCGCCGCTTACCCCGGGGCTGGGTACCGCGACCGATCCTCCAGTACCGCTCGCGCCCAGGCGCACCGGCTCGCGGGGAGCTGGGGAGGGGGCAGGGGCTGCGGGATTGGCGGAGGGTGGGGCGGGGCGGGCCGAGGGGCGCCAGAAGCTGCGGGATTGGCGGAGGGTGAGGCGGGGCGGGCCGAGGCGCGCCAGGAGCTGCGGGGTTGGCGGAGGGTGGGGTGGGGCGGGCCGAGGGACGCCAGGAGCTGCGGGATTGGCGGAGGGTGGGGCGAGGCGGACCGAGGGGCGCCAGGAGCTGCGGGATTGGCGGAGGGTGGGGCGAGGCGGACCGAGGGGCGCCAGGAGCTGCGGGATTGGCGGAGGGTGGAGCGGGGCGGGGAGTGGGGTGCTTTCTCTTTCACTTTGGGCTAGCACAAGCTCCCTGCATCTTCGGTAAGGGGAGAAAGGGGCTGCGAGCGCTTCTGGGGGGACCCAGGCCCAGCCCTGGAGCCTGGGGACAGGACCTGCCCCACGTGGACGCAGCACGCGCGGCTGCCCCCGGACACCGGCACGTTTGCGGGGTACCCCAGATCTTCCGGCCTTGAGTCGGGTGCCCGCGGCCGCGGCCGCCTCCTCCCTCCGGAAGGTCAGGAAGGGCTGCGGGGCAGGTCCGGAGGGCGCGCGTGCTGGCACCCCGAGCGCCCTTTGCACCCCGGGCCTTGGACTCGCCCGGCCGCAGGCTGTGATAAGGGCCTGACCTCTGAACCCCTGCCCGGGCTCTCCCTTCCCCCACCCCGGGGGCCCCGTCGGGGAACGGGGGAGCGAGGCCGGCGCGAGCCCCCGGCTGAGTCAGCCCGCGCCCCACGCAGCGGCCCCCGGCCGCCCCGCCTGACAGATGTCACCCCCGCACCTGCAGGCCGCGGCCCCGGACAGCTGGGTAGACTGAGGCCGCGGGCGAGCGCGGGAGCGCGCCCCCCCTCCCGGCGGCCGGCAGACAAAGGAGGGGCGCGCCGGGGTCTGTCCCGCCCCGCCCGGCTCGGCCCGCGACCCCAGCGCCCGGCCCGCCCTCCCCAGGGGACACGTGTGCGGGGAGCGCGCCCGGCGCGGCCTCCCACGCCGGGGACGGCCCGGGCGACCCCCCTCCCCCGCCCCGGAGGACGGCAGCCAGCCGCCCGGCCCCGGCGGCCACTCACCGCTCCGCCGCCGCGCTCGCCTGCCCGCGGCACCGCGCGCGCCGCCGGCGCCGGGGCTGGAGCCGCCCCGGCCCCGCCCCGCCCGGACCACGCCCCCCGGCAGCTCCCCGCGCCGCTCCTCGGGCCCTGCGACCCGCCTGCCAGGGGGACCCGCACGGCCGGCCGCACCAGTGCTCGCGAGCATGGGGACTGTTCCTAGTCCAACTTGTAGAGCGGGCTCCCTGTCCTGGAAACCCCGCTCCCCGGCAGGCGAAGGCCTCGTCCACCCAGCACCCCTCCCTCCTACTTCCCCCCACCCAGAGATAAACCGAGCTGAGCTGGTAGACAGAGCAATGTTGGTTTGTTGCACACAAGATGCTGCCTCCACACAGCAGGGGCGTGAGGGTGAGGGTAGGGATGCCCGTCTCCGCCCAGGGCTGTGGTGCTAGGCCTGGGCAGGCTGTGAGGGTTGCAGCGCAGGGGCACCCGCAGGGTCCTCGGGGGCCAGGCCGGTGCGCCGGATGCTGTCCTGGTACTTGTGGCGGCCAAGCTCCAGGACTGCACGAACCTCTTCCGCCACATCCTGCCGGTCACTTTGCTCTAGGGCCTTCACCAGAAGCTCCACAGCCCCTGGTTGTCCAGCATGGCCTTCAGCCCAGGAGAAGAGCATGTGGCGGATCTGCCCATCCAGGTCGTCCCTTGGAGACAGAGAGATGCCAAGAGTTTCTACCTGGGACCACCCGCCACACTCGGGAGCTCGCTTTTCCCAAGGCCAGTGTTCCTTCTGCCTCCCTTCCCTGGAAGATACGTCTGCCACTAACAAGCCGGGTTACAGAGGAACCACGGCCCACTCCTGCGCCACAGCTGAGGCTCACCGGAACTCATGTCGGATACGCTGCAAGACGCGATAGGGCATGCCCAGATGCAGGGCCACAGTTGGCCAGTCAGGACCCAGGCGTCCAGCCACGCTCAGCAGGTTGCTCTGCGTCAGGAAGCCCGTCTCTGCGTCACCCAGGTTCAGGGGCATCAGGGAGAGGCCAGCCCCTTGCCAGTGGCCCCCAGCCCCTTGGAGTCTCTGATGAGAGGAGAAAAGTGAGCCCGACCCCGCCCTCCCATCACCCTCCATCACCAGGAGGGCTGCTCTTCCCCTCCAGCGCCTCCCACCAGTCCCACCGGCAGCTTGATGGGCAAAGTGGCAATCCACAGGGCATCCGCGCTTTTCTTCTGCCGGGCAGCCTCGGCTTCCGGGGGCACGTCTACAGGCACCGAGTCACGGTAGAAGGACACCTGAGGAAGCGTGCAGTGAGGCTTGGCACTCGGGCACTCGCAGGAACCTGGGAGGCCCAGCCGCATCAGCCCACCTGGCCTCGCACAGCCTGGGCCTCCCGGTCCAGGGTGGTGCTGACATACACCTCCTTCACGTTCTTCAGGTGTGAGTAGAAGACGAAGCAGATCCTGCCATCCACACAGTCTGGACGGTCTGCAGTGGGGGACAGACTCAGCAGGAGGGGTGGAAGGGCCAACCCTAGGCTCTCTGGGCATCAAGTCCCTACCAGCATCCACATCGATGCCACGCTCAAAGGCTGCGAAGAATTTCTCGCCTTCGAACATCTCCACAGTATCGGAGGGCTCGGGGCCCCGGTACCGCTCCAGGAGCCGCCTGAGGGTGGCATCCACCTGTAAGAGTTCCCACAGGACTTGGCGCCCCAAGCCCTGTTCCGGCCCTGGCCTCTGGATCGCCCGGCTGCCCACCCACTTGGCCCACCTTGTTCCGGGGCAGACACTGCAGCAGGACTTGCTCAGGGTCCCGGCGCCTCTGCAGTGCGATGAGGTTCACGTGGTGCAGACGCAGCCGCGCCCAGGCCTTCCGGGCTAGGCCCTCCACACAGGTCTTGGTGGTGTACCACAGCCAGTACCTGAGCGGGCCGGAAGTGGGGTGTGGCTGTACAGGCCAGGGGAGGGGAGGGCACTGACCACAGGTGTGTGGCTGAACACACCAGGGTAAGGCACTGACCACAAGTGTGTGGCTGGACAGACCGGGGACACTGAGCAAGCTGGGTGGGAGACACTGACCAGGAGAAGTGTGTGACCTGGAAGCGGGCATACAGGTGGGTGAGCTCCAGGGCCACCTGAGCTGTGATGTCATCCCAGCTGGCTGTGGGAGGGGCCCGGTACAGCAGGTGCAAGCGGGAACGATCCACACTGAAGCCTGGGCAGGAAGGGGTCCACCATGTCAAGGCCCTGTTCCTCTGCCCGACAGCCGCAGGTTGGAGGACGCGGCCTGGCAGCCTCACCTGAGACACCGGGGGGCAGGGGCAGCTGCACAGTAACGGGCTGGAGGAACTCGGGGGGCCCGCTCCGGGACAGGCACAGCAGGGGGCTCACGGCAGCTTCCGGCTCCCCGAGGAGGGCACGCAGTTCTCGGCTAGCCATGCGAACCACCTAAGTAGAAAGGGTGCCTCGGCACTCACTGGTGGGCCGGGCCCCCCACCCCCACTCCTGGTCACCCAAGGCACTGCCCTGGCTATACCTGCATCGAGACGCGACAAGGCTCCTCCGTGGCCCCGGGGGGGAAGGTGACCTTGACCCCAGGATGACCAGAGGAGCACAGAAGTGTCCCCTCGGGGGGCACCAGGCAGGTATTGGACACAGGACGCAAAACCACAAGAAACCAGGAGAAGTGGAGCACCCTGCAGCGAGCCCAGAGCCGCGGGGAACTTGGGGTGAAGAGACAGAGCTGGGGGGGATGTGGAGAGGAAGAGACAGAGTCTGGAGCCTGTGGGGGTGAAGAGACAGAGGGGGATGTGGAGGTGAACAGTCGGGGGCACTTGGGGGTGAAGAGCAGGAGCCGGGCAGCCTCACCTCCGGGGCCTCCTCCTCCACGTGGGTCTCCAGGTCGCTCCACGTGCCGTCACTGCGGGTCCTGACCACCACTTCGCGGCAACGCCGGGCACACGGGGGCACGAAGCGCAGCCACAGGCTCACGTCCTGCTGGGGGATGGGGAGTGAGCGCCAGGGCCGGCGGTCCCGGGTCCTGCCCTCCCCCACATTGTCCCCGGCCGTGCCTGCTGGAAGGCCAGGCTGTGGGGCCACAGCTCTAGAACGCGGCTGAGCAGGAAGTCGTGCGGACCCAGGGAGACCAGGCCGGGCTCCGGGAGCCACAGGCGGTAGTGGATGGTGAGGGGGGCGGTGATGGCCCCTGCTGGGAAGTGCAGGCGGACTCCGGAGGCCAGGGTCACAGAGCAGCCGCGGGGGGTCACCGAGAAGCTGGGTGAGGAAGAGTGGGAGTGAGCGCAGATGCGAGGTGTGATGTCCGGTGTCTCAGATGACAGTGATGACAGGCTCCCCGCCCCCATCTCATACCTGTCTAAATCTGAGGTCAAGAACAGACGGGGCATTTCTGGGTCCTGGGGTGCTGCTGTGAAGGGAAGGGCCCCAAGTTGGAACGGTGGCAGGGCCAGACTCCCCCGCAGCCTGCCCGCACCCTGAGGCCAACCTGGGGGTGTCCTGCCGTCTGGGGATTCCTTGCTGAGAGGGTTCCCCTGCAGGCGCACAAAAGGGGCGTCTAGCAGCTCGGGGGGCAGGTCTCGGAGCTGGTTGTCCCTCAAGTCGAGGTGCATGAGCAGCGGGAGGCGGGCCAGGCCCACAGGCAGGGAGGTGAGAAGGTTGCTGTGCAGAACGAGCAGCCGCAGGGAGCGGAGCCCGGCTGCGGGCAGGCAGGGGCTTAGGGCTGCCCGAGGCCTCCCCCAGCTCTGGGGGACCCCAGGATACCCATGCTTCAGACTCTCGGGAGGACCCTGCCCCACGGGTGGACAGAGCTTCAGGTGAAGATTCAGAGGACAGGGAGGCAGCCAAGGGGTAGGCGTGGAGAAGAGAACTCTCAAAGGCAGGGGCTCTGTGGCAGAGGAGAGAAGCCGGAGCCCCAAGAGTAGACGTGGGGGACCCTGGTGGGAGCGATGGTCTGAGCCAGGCCGGTGCCGCCCCCCTCGGGCCTGTCCCTAGGCTGTCCTCTACTGGGGCACAGCTGCTACTCACCAAGGGAGGCTGGGAGGTTCCGTAGTTGATTGGAGGCCAGATTGAGCTCACAGAGGCTGCTCAGTCCCCCAATCTCAGGGGGCACAGCATCCAGAAGGTTCTCGGAGAGATCGAGGCACTGCAGTGTGGAGCTGGCGCCCAGCGCTGTGGGCAGCCTCCGCAGGCAGTTGTGTGTCGCAGTGAGGAAGGTGAGGGCGGGCAGACTCCCCAGGGCCTCGGGCAGCTCTGAGAGGTGGTTGTGAGAGAGCAGGAGCGCGGCCAGGCTGTGCAGCTGCAGGACACAGGCTGGCAGGGTCTCCAGCCTGTTGAAGCTCAGGTCCAGGTGGGCCAGGTGAGCCAGGCCGCTCAGCCCAGCAGGGAGTGTGGTCAAGGTGCCTTGGAGGCAAGCACCCAGGGGCCCTCGGTTTTGCCCTCCTGGAAGTGAGAGAAACAGATGCAGGTGTGAGAGGTGGCGTCCTAGCTGGGCCCTGCTGGCGACAGACCGCTGCCCAGAAGGTACAGGTCTCTGCTGCCCGACCAGCCAGGAGACGGTGGAGAGGCAGAAAGGAGAGCCAGAGATGGAGATCATGAGCTGCGTTTGTTGTCAGCATCATCTGTGACTAGGAGGATGTGCAGAGTGGCCCCCTAGGGCAGCTTTATGGTCCCAGGCCTGGAGGCCAGCCAGCCAACCCCAGTCTTGGGGGAAGATGCGCAGGCTGTGGACAGGGACTGGGAGCAGAGTGGGGCCCACACCTGGGAAGCAAGGCCGAAGAGCCAAGGCTTGCCTTGCGGACCAAGAAGGAGAGGCAGGGCAGGGCCAGAGATGAGACCCGGGTTCTCACCTTTGAGGACGAGGGACCGGAGGTGCAGCAGGCTCCAGGGCACCTGGGCCAGGGTGGCCTCCAGCAGCCCAGGGTCCTCGTGAGTGCTCAGCCGCAAGAACTCCACGCGCAGCAGCGGCAGGGGCTGCTGGGCGCACAGGTGCAGCAGTCTGCGGCAGCCCCCGGGGTACAGGTCCAGGTTCAGCTGGGTGCCCGGCGCGGCCTCCGCAGCATCTGCGGCTGCACCCGCGGCTTGCTCCGGCACTGCATCCATCACCCACCGCGGGTCCTCGGGGGCCGGACATGTCCCGGCTCGCCGGGCAGGCCTGCTCGGGCAGGGCCCTGCAGGCGGCAGAGGCGGGCGGGAGGGAGGGAGCGAGCGGGGCCGCGCGCGCCTCTGCGGGGCCGAGCCCGGGCCGGGCCGGGGAGGGGTGGGGGGGCCGGGCCCAGGGCCGGGCCGGGGAGGGCTGGGGGGGCCGGGCCCAGGGCCGGGCCGGGGAGGGCTGGGGGGGCCGGGCCCGGGAGGGCTGGGGGGGCCGGGCCCGGGAGGGCTGGGGGGGCCGGGCCGGGGAGGGCTGGGGGGGCCGGGGCCGGGCCCGGGAGGGCTGGGGGGGCCGGGCCCGGGAGGGCCGGGGGGGCCGGGCCCGGGAGGGCTGGGGGGGCCGGGCCCCCGCGGGTCCCGGTCGTCAGCGCCCAGGCTGCGCGGGGCAGCCGGGCCGGGGGCGCCCCCCTGAGCGGACACCGCAGCGAGGCTGCGTCCGCCGGGCGGCCCCGGCCCGGCCAGGGGTCCGAGGCCCCCGAGGCCCCCTCGGCACGGGCGCACCGACGGCCCGCGGCCCTCGGTCCTGCACGGCGCGCGCGCCGCGGCCTCCGCAGACCCGCGCTCCGGGGCGGCGGCGGGCACCGATTCCCGCCGGCCACGGGGCGCAGCGCGCGCTTCCGGGTGGCAGCGGCCGGCCCCGCCCCCGCGCCGGCCCCGCCCCTCCCGGTCCGCTTCCCGCCGCTGCCCCGCCGCCGCCTCCGCCTCCCCGGGGCTCTCCGGGGCGCTCTGTGGCCCCAGGGCCGGCGCCGGGACCCGAGAGTGCCCGTGCCAGGCTGGAAAGTCCGGGGGAAGCCGGGCACCCGCGGCTCCCGCCCGTCATCCTAGCTACTCAGGAGGCTGAGGTCTGAGGATCGCGGTTCAAAGCCAGCCCAGGGCTGGGAAGGTGGCTCAGTGGTAGAGCGCTGGCCTTGCATGCCTGAGGCCCTGGGTTCGATTCCTCAGCACCACATAAGCAAAAAGAAAAACGCCGGAAGTGGCGCTGTGGCTCAAGTGGTAGAGCGCTAGCCTTGAGCTGAAGAGCTGAGGGACAGCGCCCAGGCCCAGAGTTCAGGCCCCACGACCAGACCAACCCCCCCCCCCCCCAAAAAAAAAGTCCAAAGGCTCCACCTCCAAATTGACCAGCAAAAAGCTGGCAGGGGGCATGATTCAAGTGATAGAGTGCTGAGTAATCATATCACCTTGAGTTTAAACCCCAGTATTGACCAACCCCCCCCCCAAAAAAAGCAACAAAACCCATCTCCTTTCTCTGCCCTCGACTATTTTTGTGTGGTGCTGGGGCTTGAAATCCTAGCATTTAGCAGACATTACTTTTAGTAATTAATTGGAGGTTAAGTCTCAAGGATTTGTATACCTGGACTGGCTTAAATCCTCAAATCTGACACCAGAGTAGCTATTATTAGTCTTACTGGTGCCGTGCCAGACCTATACATTCTGTCTGTCGGTAAAGCGGCCAGGTCTTTTTTTTTTGCCCATCCTGCAGTTTGAACTCAGGGCCTGGGCACTGTCCCTGAGCTTCTTTTTGCTCAAGGCTAGCACTCTACCACTTGAGCCACAGGGCCACTTCCAGCTTTTTCTGTTTAGCTGGTGCTAAGAAATCGGACAGAGGGCTTCATGCATGCTAGGCCAGCCCCGGTGGCTAGCTAATTCTGACAGAGGGAGAACAGGAGCTTGGGCCAGACACTACCTGGTTTCATAATGGGTTGCACAACTTGCATGTGCTTGTTGCAGTTGAACAGTACACTTAAAATAACAAGTGACACTGGGGAATAAGTGTGGGCTCACAAACAGGCATATGACGCACTATACATGCGCAGAAAGGCATGTACTTGGAACTTGTCTGGCACGGCCTGTCGAACCCATTTCCTGCCAGCCTGGAGATAATCTTGGCAGGGCCAGCCACTCATCTTTTGGCTCAAAGTTACCCACTTGTAGAACGATCCAGACAAAAGGCCTCCAGCAACCCTACTCCAACTTCCTCCAACTAGAACAGAAGCTACCAGGCGCTGGTGGCTCACGCCTGTGATCCTAGCTACTCAGGAGGCTGAGACCTGCGAGTCACAGTTCAAAGCCAGCCTGAACAGGAAAGTCCGTGAGACTTATCTATTAACCACCAGAAAACCGGAAGTGGGTCTGTGGTTCAAATCGGTAGAGGGCTAGCCTTGAAAGAGCTCGGGGACTCGGGGAGAGCACCCAGGCCCGGAGTGTAAGCCCCACGATCGACCCCAAAAAGAACAAAAGCTGTGCAGACAGGGCAGAGCCAGTTCCCTCCGGATCCCAGCTCTCGGGTGGGTGGCGTGCGCTAGCCACCACGTGGACACCGAGGCCAGGGCCATGCAGGTCTGCCGGCTGCTCAGACCGCACGGCGCCGGGGAGGGTGAAGTGTGGCTGTGGACTCGGCGGCCCCCCGGGCCCCCGGGCCCCGAGCTCTCCGGGCCAGGCCGTCGGGCCCACAGGGCAGGGCGCGAGCCACTGCCTGAAGCCAGAACCACAGCCGCTGCTCCGAGGCGGCTCGCCCCCGGGCCGGGCCGGGCCGGGCCGGGCCGCACGTCCGGCTTTCGGGACCAGGGAACCGCCGCCAAAGAGAAAAAGCTGGCAGCCCGCAAGCTCCTCCTGCGCCCACGTGCAGCACGCGCAGGCCGGCGGCGCGCACTTCCGGTGGCGGTGCACCACGGGACTTGCAGTTCGCCGGCAAAGATGCGTTTCGGCCGCGCTGAATGCTGGGAACTGTAGGCGCCGCGTGGCATGCTGGGGGAGCCGGGCGCCGAAGGAACGTGAAGTATACCTGACACCACGAACTTGAGCGCCCTCTCCCCACGCCAGGCAAGTCTGTTCCAGTCCCGCACCAGACTGTGCCCCAGAGCCGTAACCAGACCGAGGACCGGGCTGTGGCTCCCGCCCCGAAGTCATTGGCTGAGCGGCCACGTCATCAGGAGGCGTCCTCACGCGGAGCCCGGGCGTCCCGGGGGCTTCTGGGTAGCGGTTAACCCCCGCCCCTGGCGCGGGCGTCTTCCTTTCGCTTCCTGACGCCGCCGAGGTCGCACGCTTCAGCCCGCCGGTCGCCGCCAGGTGAGTGGGGCTGGGGGGGCCGGGGCCGGGCCGGGCCGGGCGGCGGGCGGGCCCCGGGCTGGGCGGCCTGCGCCCCGGGGAGGCCGCGGGCCCGAAGCACGTTGGCCGTTCCGGGCCCGCTGGGCGGCGGGGCCGGGGCCGCGGGCCGCGCGAGTAACGCCGCCCGGCCGGCCGGCCCTCCTCCGCCGCAGCATGCGCTACGTCGCCTCCTACCTTCTGGCCGCCCTCGGGGGCAACTCCTCCCCCAGCGCCAAGGACATTAAGAAGATCCTGGACAGCGTGGGCATCGAGGCGGACGATGACCGGCTGAACAAGGTAACCGCCGCCGACTGCGGCTGCGACTCCTGCCTGACCCGGGCGTTAGCGTCCGGGGAGGCCTACCCCGGTCTGGGTGCGCTTGTTTTGGGGTGTTCTCGTGAGGGCCCTGAGAGGGCAAAATAAATGGAGTTCCAAATCTGCGCAGATGAGTTCAGGGTAACATTGCATTCAGGTGTGTACTTCTAAACACAGAAACGAAAATTGGCCATCTCAAGATGAGACCCGGGGCGCCTCTCACCTTAGGATGTGCTCTGCCACTAACCTGGAACTCGCAGCATCCCAACCTAAAAATTCCATCTTTCCAGCCAATTTGAACGTCTGCTTTCTCCTGTGTTTAGAGCTTAAATGAGTACATGTGAGGTGTGGAATAATTTCAGCGTTAAGTTTCAGAGCCTAGTTCCTGGTCCCACGTTATAGAAGGGTCTCCTTTTGCTGAAGTGCAGGCTTGGGGAATTCAGCCCATCTTACGTGCAGTGTCTCCAGCTCTGCCCTCGCAGCCCAGGGATGTTGTGACCCACACTGGTGACTAATGGCTTTCTGTGGTTGTCTACTCCAGGTGATCAGTGAGCTGAATGGGAAGAACATTGAGGATGTCATCGCCCAGGGTGAGTTGGCTTCTCGAACTTTTTGTTTTTGTGGTCCATCCTAATCCCTGCTGGCCAGCCTGTGGCCTGCCAGGCTTCGCTTGTGGACCAGAGCAGCCTAGAAGCCTCCCTTGGTTTGAGCCAGGCCTTTCTGTGCTCAGTGTTGGACACTTCTGGACACATTAAGGACTGGTTGCTGACCTCATTGGATCCACTCGTGTACACACTTCTGAAGCCGAGTAGCCCATACTTCAGAACTCTTACAAACATGGCTTCCTTGTTTTTTTTTTTTTTTTTTTTTGTGAAGGGGTGGCCACAGGCTCCTACACACATTGCTGGACAGATGGTTTCCTGGGTTTGTGTGGCTAGAGCTGACAGGACTTGATAGGAGTTTGGGCTATTGGAGTAATGTGTCTACTGTATGCACAGGGCAGGGAGAGTTCAGAGATCAGACAGTAGCAGCTGGTTGTAAACATGTTTGAATGTCTTAGCCTTAATACTCTGCTTCTAATTCTTAGGATCAAGTTTCAAAGGTCCGGTCCTGGCTAGGAAGGTGGCTTAATGGTAGAGTGCTGGTTTTGTGTTCATGAAGCGCTGGGTTCAGTTCCTCAGTATCACATACGCAGAAAAAGCCCAAAGTGGCACTGTGGCTCAAGTAGTGGAATGCAAAGGAAGCTCAGGGACAATGCCTCTGCTCTTGAGTTTAAGCCCCAGGACTGGCAGAAAATGAAAGAAGACCCTGAAAGTGCATGCCATAGGTCTTGTCTATGCAGACAGTGCTGCCAGTATGTATGGGGCACGCTGGTGAAGTAGTTTCTTGGGGTTGTGTTTGTTCTGGAGCAGCCTTTTGGCTGGCCACCTGTTCTGATCTCACTTCCCTACTTCTGTAGGTGTTGGCAAGCTTGCCAGTGTGCCTGCTGGTGGGGCTGTTGTTGCTTCTGCTGCGCCCGGCTCTGCAGCTCCTGCTGCTGGTTCTGCCCCTGCTGCAGGTGAGTGGAATCCTGGTGAGTGGTACAGGGCTCAGCCTCCCGCTGTGTCTGCTTGCCTGGGCTCAGCTGTCTCTGGACAGCTGTGGCAGTGCTTGCCCTGTTCTTTCCACAGCAGAAGAGAAGAAAGATGAGAAGAAAGAAGAGTCCGAGGAATCAGATGATGATATGGGATTTGGCTTGTTTGATTAAATTCCTGGTTCCCTGCAAATAAAGCCTTTTTATGTATCTTGAGTAGTCTTGGCACTTTGTCATCAGCACTGGGAATTGGGGGGTGGGCATGGGGAGACAGGCACTTCCTGCCGGCCTTGAGCAGGTTCCTGTCCAGTTGTACAGTGAAATCACAGCTTTCAAGGAATTGCCAGGGAAATTTGCTTAAAAAATGTTTTGTTTTGCTAGGTGCTGGTGGCTCACACTTGTAATCCTAGTTACTTTGGAGTCTGAGATCTGAGGCTCCTGGTCCAAAGTTAGCCCAGGCAGGAAAGTCCATGAGACTCTTCAATAACCACTCAGAAAACCCAAAGTAGCACTGTGGCTCAATGGTAGAGTACATGTCTTGAGGTGAAAAGCTGAGGGACACGCCCAGGCCCAGAGTTCAAGACCTGACAGACAATGTTTTGTGGTAAACGGGTTAGGGCCTTGTGCAAGCATTCAAGTGTTCCTACCCTTTTTTTGGGGGGGGGGGTCCAGTCATGGGGCCTGAACTCTGGGCCTGGGCACTGTCCCTCAGCTCTTGAGCTCAAGGCTAGCACTCTACCACTTGAGCCACAGCACCACTTCCGGCTTTTTTCTTTTTGCTTATGTGGTGCTGAGGAATCAAACCCAGGGCCTCATGCATGCAAGGCAAGCGCTCTACCACTGAGCCACCTTCCCAGCCCCCTCCCTACCTTTTGAGCCACATGCCAAGTCATGTTTTTGTTTGTGGGGGAGGGGGTTGAGATAGGGCCTCCCTGGTTTTGACCTGTCTTTTCCTTGTTGGTGCTTTTATTTTCACAAGGTTTTCCACTTTGCCCAGGACTAGCCTCAGTCTGAGATCCTCCAGCCTTTGCCTCTTGTGCAGGGAGGATTGCAGTCAACTCTCATACACTGCAGAAAAAAAACAGCACCCCAGGGATTCAGGGAGCTTGCCAGGCCTGAGCTGAGCTCTGAAGGCTAGACATAGTTGGCCAGGCAAGGGTATAGGGCTGCCCAGGCAGCAAAGGTCCAGGTGGGTGGGGTTACTGAAGAGAAGGTAAAGCTGGTAGTGTGTGACCTAGTAGGAGTTAGATCCCTTTTGAGTCTGGGAACAAAAACCTGTGATCCACAGCCGCAGACCTCTCTAGATACTTGATGTGAACATGCTGCATTGTGAGAGGTTTTCCATCATTTGGGTAGCACCTCTGGTGGTCTGTCTGTACATGGGGGAATCAGGTCCAAGGGAGAATGAAAATCAAGCAATTCATGGTGATGGTAGTTTCTTGCCTCTAAAGACCCTCTCTGGAGAAGAATCTATTTTAGTGTCTTGGGAACACAATTTGGGGGGGCGGGAGGGGTTGGTCATGGGGCTTGAACTCGGTCCAAGCATTCACTTCCCTCAGCTCAAGGCGAGCACTCTACCACTTCAGCCACAGCACCACTTAGGGTTTTCTGGTGGTTAATTGGAGATAAGCGTCTCATGAATTTTCCTGCCTGGGCTGGCTTTGAAGCGTGATCTTCAGATATCAGCCTCCTGAGTAGCTAGAGTTACAGGCGTGAGCCATTGGTGCGCAACCTTTTTCTCTTTTTCTTTTTTCCCCCCTGAGGCTTGAACTTAGGGTCTGGGCACTGCCCTTGAGGTTTTTGGTTTTTTGTTTTCCCCACAAAGCTAGTATTCTGCGGCTTGAGCCACAGCTCCACTTACAGCTTTTTTGAGGCAGTTAATTGGAGATAGGAGTCTCAGACTCACTTTTTGCCTAGGCTGACTGAACTATGGTCTTCAGATCTCAGCCTCCTGAGCAGCTAAGATTACGTACGTACAGGTATGAGCCACCAGTGTGCAGTTTATGGGGAATAAAAATCCTTTAAGTGTGGTAGTATATGACCAAAATCTCAGCAGCAGTGGAGAGGCTAAACCACAAGGTTGAGACCATTGTCTCAATAAATTTGAGGCCAAATGCTATGGGTGGGCCTTAAGTTTTGCCTAGGAAACCCTCTAGAGGAAGAAGGGAGATGGATGGAGCTAGTCTGATCTGCATAACCAGGAGTTCAGGTGACCACTTAGGACCTAGACTTTTGGGTGATGGCAGCCAATCTCCAGGGATGGAATACAGTAGGGAGGGGGCAGTCCCCTGGGTATAGACCGGAAAGTCCAAGGGTTCAGAAGCCAGAGACAAGATTCTCCCCACAACCTATTCAGAGCCTCCAGTGAGGGCTCCGCCCAGCTCTGGGAGACCTCTGTCCCCATTTCCACAGAGGGTCAAAGTTGTTTTGTGTACACAGCCTCCCAGACCCTTGGGAGGCTGAGAAGCCAGGAACAGGCTGGCTGTTCCCAGAATCCTGGGTGGAGCTGGGCTGCTCCTGCCCCCAAGCCAGCTGAGGTCTTGCCCCTCGTGATGCCCTCTAGGTGACGCCAGCCTCTTCAGAGTCCAGGCTGGAACTGTAGCTTCATTCCTCTAGGATCTTTGATCCCTGCCCCAGCCTTGCTGCTCATTGTACCTGGCTGCAGTCCCTGCCAAGGTCTTCATTTCTTTCCTTTTTCCACTCGGGCCCTCCCTCCCTTTACACCTTTTGGTTTCACTCCCACTAAAGTTCTTCCTGGAGCAATCAATCAGAGGATGTTTTGTTCTGTTTTCCTTCTTGTTGGTAGTACTGTTGTTTGAGATCTGGGCCTCTGCCCTTGACATATGAGCCACAACCCTGGCCCCTTCTCTTTTTCAAAGCACTTTGCTCAGGCTGGCCTCAGACTCACCTCCTGAACAACTGGGATTACAGGCATGGACCACCATACTTGGTGTCAAGGGAAATCTAGTTTGGAGCTAGGAGTATGGCTCAGTGGTAGAACTCCACCACTTCGTTACAATATAGAACTTCTGGTCAGGCACTAGTGGCTTACAACTGAAATCCTAGCTTCTTGGGAGCTGAGATCTGAGGATCACAGTTGGAAGTCAGCCCAGGCAAGGAAGTCTGTGAGACTCATCTCCAGGTAACTACCAAAAAGCTGAAAGTGGAGCTGTGGTTCAAATGGTAGAGTATCAGCCTTGATAGTGTGCCCAGGCCCTGAGCTTAAGCTCCAATATTGGTACATACACTAAAAGAACCCCTTCTCCCTCTCTGGACTGTGTGTCTTGTCCCTGTCCTCCCTGGGGTGTTAGCTTCCCAAGTCTGTGCTGCTCCGGATCTCTCATCCCATCTCCCCCATCTCCCGATGAGAAGGCAGAGACTACACACTGTGCGTCCCAAGAGGTTCAGCAGCCTGACAGCCTGAGGAAGGAAGGAGCTTCTCGGGGAGGCCTGGCTGCAGGGCGAGCCAGCTGAGGACAGGCAGGCCTCTCCTGAGGGACTCAGGACACTTCCCGTCCAGCAGCCACCTCCAGTGCAGTGGCCTGGTGAGAGCTGGGGGAACACTCCAGGGGGCTGAACAACTGCCCAAGGCGCCTCGAGCTGTGGGGGGCGCCCACACCGCAAGTGGGGCCACCCGCCGGCCCAGGCCTCGAAGCCCACGGTGGACCTCGGCTCCCCGGCACGCCGTTTGGGCCCCGAGCTGAGCAGGGCCCCGGGCAGAGGCCGGTGGTCCAATGCCCCACACCTGGCCAGCTCCTCGGCTCAGGTTCAAGGAGGGGACCGGAGCCAGGGAGAAATGTGGGAAGGGGGTGGGGGTGGGGGGGCAGGCTCAGCCCTGTAAAGCCCAGGTGGAGCGCCAGGGACCAGATCGCAGGGCCAGCCACAGGAACGCAGGGCCAGAGACCAGGGCGCAGGGCCAGAGACCAGGGCGCAGGGCCAGCCACAGGACCGCAGGGCCAGAGACCAGGCCGCAGGGCCAGCCACAGGACCGCAGGGCCAGAGACCAGGCCGCAGGGCCAGCCACAGGGCCGCAGGGCCAGCCACAGGGCCCCAGGGCCGCAGGGCTGGCCACAGGGCCGCAGGGCCAGAGACCGGGCCGCAGGGCCAGCCACAGGACCGCAGGGCCGGCCACAGGGCCGCAGGACCGCAGGGCCAGCCACAGGACCACAGGCCTGGCCACAGGGCCGCAGGGCCAGCCACAGGGCCACAGGACCACAGGGCCGGCCGCAGGGCCGCAGGGCCGCAGGGCCGGCCACAGGGCTGCAGGGCCGGCCACAGGACCACAGGGCCGGCCGCAGGGCCGCAGGGCCGCAGGGCCAGCCACAGGGCCGCAGGGCCACAGGGCCGGCCGCAGGGCCGCAGGGCCGCAGGGCCGGCCACAGGGCCGCAGGGCCAGCCACAGGGCCGCAGGGCCGCAGGGCCGGCCGCAGGGCCGCAGGGCCGCAGGGCCGCAGGGCCAGCCACAGGGCCGCAGGGCCGCAGGGCCGGCCACAGGGCTGCAGGGCCGGCCACAGGACCACAGGGCCGGCCGCAGGGCCGCAGGGCCGGCCACAGGGCTGCAGGGCCGGCCACAGGACCACAGGGCCGGCCGCAGGGCCGCAGGGCCGCAGGGCCAGCCACAGGGCCGCAGGGCCACAGGGCCGGCCGCAGGGCCACAGGGCCGGCCGCAGGGCCGCAGGGCCGCAGGGCCGGCCACAGGGCCGCAGGGCCAGCCACAGGGCCGCAGGGCCGCAGGGCCGGCCGCAGGGCCGCAGGGCCGCAGGGCCGCAGGGCCGCAGGGCCAGCCACAGGGCCGCAGGGCCGCAGGGCCGGCCGCAGGGCCGCAGGGCCGCAGGGCCGCAGGGCCGCAGGGCCAGCCACAGGGCCACAGGACCACAGGGCCGGCCGCAGGGCCGCAGGGCCGGCCGCAGGGCTGCAGGGCCGGCCACAGGACCACAGGGCCGGCCGCAGGGCCGCAGGGCCGCAGGGCCGCAGGGCCGCAGGGCCAGCCACAGGGCCACAGGACCACAGGGCCGGCCGCAGGGCCGCAGGGCCGCAGGGCCGGCCGCAGGGCCGCAGGGCCGGCCACAGGGCCGCAGGGCCGCAGGGCCGGCCGCAGGGCCGCAGGGCCGCAGGGCCGGCCACAGGGCTGCAGGGCCGGCCACAGGACCACAGGGCCGGCCGCAGGGCCGCAGGGCCAGCCACAGGGCCACAGGACCACAGGGCCGGCCGCAGGGCCGCAGGGCCAGGGACCGGGCCGCGGACATGTCGCGGAGCCCGCCTCGTGGGCGGCTCGCGGGCCTCGGGGGCGCCTCCAGGCCGCGTGGGTGCCGTCGGTGCTGGTTTCTTCGCGTCCGGGCGGCGGACGGTGGAAGAGGCGACGGCGGCGGGCGCGCAGACGCAGCAGGCTCGAGCCCGCCCGCGGAGGCGTGCGCGGCCGCAGCCGGGGGCGGGGCAGGGGGCGGGGCCCCGAGCGGCGGCCGGGAGGGGCGGGGCCGCGCCTGCGCCGCGCGCTCCGGTTGGCCCGCGCGGGCCCCGCCCCCCGCCCCGCCCCGCCCCTCTACCTCCCCGCCGCGGCGGCGGCTCCGCACAGCGTCTCCGCCTGGGCCGGCGGAGGCCCCGACCGGATCGAGCGGAGCCCGAGCGCCGCGCCGCGATGTTCCCCCGCGAGGCCAAGTGGAACATTTCCTTCGCGGGCTGCGGCTTCCTCGGCGTCTACCACATCGGGGTGGCGTCCTGCCTGCGCGAGCACGCGCCGTTCCTGGTGGCCAACGCCGCGCACATCTACGGCGCCTCGGCCGGGGCGCTCACGGCCACGGCGCTGGTCACGGGGGCCTGCCTGGGTGAGGCCGGGCCGCCGGGGTCGCGGGGGCCGGCGGGGGTCGCGGCGGGGGGCCGGCGGGGTCGCGGGGGCCTGCCTGGGTGAGGCCGGGGGCCGGCGGGGTCGCGGGGGCCGGCGGGGGTCGCGGGGGCCTGCCTGGGTGAGGCCGGGGGCCGGCGGGGGTCGCGGGGGCCGGCGGGGGTCGCGGGGGCCGGCGGGGTCGCGGCGGGGGGCCGGCGGGGTCGTGGGGGCCGGCGGGGTCGTGGGGGCCGGCGGGGGTCGCGGCGGGGGGCCGGCGGGGGTCGCGGGGGCCTGCCTGGGTGAGGCCGGGGGCCGGGCGGGGGTCGCGGGGGCCGGCGGGGGTCGCGGGGGCCGGCGGGGGTCGCGGCGGGGGGCCGGCGGGGTCGTGGGGGCCTGCCTGGGTGAGGCCGGGGGCCGGCGAGGTCGCGGGGGCCGGCGGGGTCGCGGGGGCCTGCCTGGGTGAGGCCGGGGGCCGGGCGGGGTCGCGGGGGCCGGGCGGGGTCGCGGGGGCCTGCCTGGGTGAGGCCGGGGGCCGGGCGGGGGTCGCGGGGGCCGGCGGGGTCGCGGGGGCCGGCGGGGTCGCGGCGGGGGGCCGGCGGAGTCGTGGGGGCCTGCCTGGGTGAGGCCGGGGGCCGGGCGGGGTCGCGGGGGCCGGCGGGGTCGCGGGGGCCGGCGGGGTCGCGGGGGGGGGGGGCCGGCGGGGTCGCGGGGGCCTGCCTGGGTGAGGCCGGGGGCCGGGCGGGGTCGCGGGGGGGGGGGGGGGCCGGCGGGGTCGCGGGGGCCTGCCTGGGTGAGGCCGGGGGCCGGGCGGGGTCGCGGGGGGGGGGGGGCCGGCGGGGTCGCGGGGGCCTGCCTGGGTGAGGCCGGGGGCCGGGCGGGGTCGCGGGGACCCCGGGCCCCGCAGGGCCGCCGCGCACGGGGCGCCGTTGGGCTGGGCCTGCCTGCGCCCTGGGAACCCGGCCTGGGGTCCAGGGCCGGGTGCGGGTCCCGGGCGGCCCTGGTTTGTTTTGCCGTCCGGCTGCCTGGGGATGGGGTGGGGCCGGGTTCTCGGGCAGGTGGAGCGAAGCTGTTGTGGGACAGAAGAGGTACGAGGTCGGGGCGGGGCCCCCTGTCCCCTTCCCGCCCCTGCCACCGGGTGCCTGGGGCCTGGCGACCTCCTAGGCCAGCTGGGCATGCGGCCAGGCCCTTCCTGAGGCCTCTAAAGGAGCCAGTAAGGGCTCCCAGCCTGCCCCCCAGCTGACGGCTGCCCCGCCTGCTTCTTGGGTCGGGAGCTTTGGGCTCTGGGTCAATAGTCAGGAGAGCCGGACCCTTGTGGGCTGGGCTGTGAGGCACACTTCCGGCTGCCACGTGGGGGTGGTGTTTACAGCACACAGCGTTCTTCCTCCGGAGTCCTGGGAAGTCCTGCCCAGCCCACAGCGCACGGGGCAATCAAGGTGACAAGGGTGCCCTGAGGAGCTGGAAGCTGGCTAGCCCTGAGGGAAAGAGGGGGGCACCTCTGGTTGGGAACCGAGGTGCGCTCTGTGACGTATCCACACCCCCCCGACCTCGTGCCAGTGCTGGAGGTCAAGGCTGGAGCGCTACCATCTGAGCCTTACCTTCACTTCTGGTTTTCTGCCAGTTAACTGAACATTTATGCCCAGGCTGGTGATCCTCTCACCTTGGCTCTCCTGAGTAGCTAGGATTATAGGCCTGTGCCACCGGTGCCCTGCGTGCCTTCCCTTCTTCTGGAGACCAGTCTGCCTGCTGGTCCCAGGACATCCTTCAGAACTGTCCCTGAGCTGGCCACCACCCCTGAGCTTCTTACAGGTGTCCTGGGCAGCCTCCACCAAAAGGAAGGCACTAGCTGAGAACACCTGGCTTACATGCTCAACTCTTGATCCAAAGTGGGTCCTCATTTTCTCCCCCAAAGCCCTCCTCTGTCTGGCCACTCTGGTATTGGCCTGGGCGGTGTGCTGGGATGCTTGTCCATGGCTGCGGGGGGACGCAGTGTTAGCCTCCAGGAGGCAGGCCCCTGCTCTCTCGGGCTGTGACCCCTGCACTGGGCTGGGTTTCGTGGGTCTAGAGCAGGCCAAGTGGGTGAAGGCTGAGGCTGGCCGGAGCTGGGCCTCCGCACCCTCCTCTGCTGGGCGTCCTGCCACACCACAGGAAGCCTAATGACTCACTGGGTCAGGCAGCTGGGAAATGCTGGGCAGAGGCCAGGTCCCAGTACCTGCTGACCGCCCTGGACCAGGCCCTGTTGTTTGGCCTCCTGAGCCCCTCTACCCAGGGACAGGTCACAGAAGTTTCAACAGTGGTCCAGGCCCCATCAGGGCCACAGAGAACCCCAGGGCTAATGGGGAGAACAGGAACCTAGCCACAAAGCTATGGGGAAGGAGTCCTGGCCCCTGATCCTGGCCCTGCTGCCCTAGGTGAGGCAGGCGCCAATATCATTGAGGTCTCCAAGGAGGCCCGGAAGCGGTTCCTGGGTCCCCTACATCCTTCCTTCAACCTGGTGAAGACCATCCGAGGCTGCCTGCTGAAGATCCTGCCTGCTGATAGCCACGAACGTGCCAGTGGACGCCTGGGCATCTCGCTGACCCGTGTTTCAGATGGCGAGAACGTCATCATATCTCAGTTCAACTCCAAGGAGGAGCTGATCCAGGTGAGCTCTGGTGGCTCTGATGGGTTCTGTTGGTCTCTGATGGGTTCTGTTGGTCTCTGGTGGGTTCTGTTGGTCTCCGGTGGCTCAGGTGGGTTCTAGTGGCTCTGGTGGTTTTGGTGGCTCTGGTGGGTTTTGGTGGCTCTGGTGGGTTTTGGTGACTCTGGTAGTTCTGATGGACTCCGGTGGCTCAGGTGGGTTCTGGTGGCTCTGGTGGTTTTGGTGGCTCTGATGGTTCTGGTGGGTTTTGGTGGGTTCTGGTGGTCTCTGATGGCTCTGGTGGGTTCTGGTAGGTTCTGGTGGCTCATAGCTCTGGTGGGTTCTGGTGGGCTCTCATGGCTCTGGTTCTGGTAGCTCTCATGGTTCTGGTGGTTCTCGTGGCTCTGGTGGTTCTGGTGGCTCTCATGGATCTGGTGGCTCTGGTGGCTCTGGGGCTGTGAGGCCCAGTGTGACCCTGCACCTTTGCTCACCACCTTTCTGCTTTGCCCTTGCAGGCCAATGTCTGCAGCACTTTCATCCCCGTGTACTGTGGCCTCATCCCTCCCTCCCTCCAAGGGGTGGTGAGTATCCCGCCGGGCTGTGCTGGGCGGTGCCCTGTGTGAGCCACCAGATCTGCTGGCACGGGACGGCGGGGGAAGGGCCATGGCACCCCCCTGCTCCAGCCCTCACTCTGCCACTGCCTCTTGCTTCATTTCCTGTTACTCAAGAGGCAGAGTGGCTCTGGGGATGTGCAGTTCCCATTGCTGTCCCCCACTGATGGAGTGCTCAGTACTTAGTGGGCAAAAGGCCCAAGTACAGCAGCCCCCTGGTGTGGAGACAGCACAGCCCTGCAGGCCCTGACCATGTGCCTGTGTGTGCAGCGCTACGTGGACGGCGGCATCTCAGACAACCTGCCACTTTACGAGCTCAGGAACACCATCACTGTGTCCCCCTTCTCGGGTGAGAGTGACATCTGCCCACAGGACAGCTCCACAAGCATCCATGAGCTCCGGGTCACAAACACCAGCATCCAGTTCAACCTGCGCAACCTCTACCGCCTCTCCAAGGCCCTTTTCCCACCCGAGCCCATGGTGAGCCCGCGCAGGGCTGTGGGCTCTACAGCCCGTTTGCACTCAGCACAGGGGAGAAAGCTCGCACAGAGACGTCTTCTGAGAGCCCAGGTTGGGGCGGGGTGGTCTAGCCTCTTCCGAGGGCCGGGGTAGCCATGGCCTGCAGGTCCTCTCCCAGGGAGGCAGCCTGTCCGTCCAGGGTCTAGCTTGGATGTTGTGCTGGACCAGGGTTGTGGTGGCTGCAGAGCAGACGGGGTGGAAGCGGCCGCTGCAGGATCCAGGGGACCGCAGGGCTTATCTGGCTCCCTCTACCTTAACGTGCTGCAGGTGCTTCGAGAGATGTGTAAGCAGGGTTACCGGGACGGCCTGCGCTTCCTGCGGAGGAACGGTGCGTGGGCAGGCCGGCCGGCGCACCTGTCAAAACGTGGGGTGGGCAGAACTGGCTCTGGGCCGCCCCCGCCCCATGGCCAACCACCTGGGAGCTGATCTTGGCTCCAGAGTGGTTTCCTTCCTCCACCTCCCCCTCTCCAGGTCTTCTGAACCAGCCCAATCCCTTACTGGCGCTGCCCCCCACCCCTCACCATGGCCGCGAGGAAGAGGAAGCTGAGGAGGCTGAAGTGGCTGAAGAAAGGGTCCACCTGGAGGGCCACTCGCAGCCCCCTGGGGAGGATCACATTCTGGAGCACCTGCCGGCCAGACTCAACGAGGGTGAGCCACACGGAGGGGAGGCGGGTGGAGGGGGCCGGGCCAGGGGAGAGACGGCCAGCACAGCGGCTGCGGGCTGGCCCCACATCCCCAACCAGCTGCCAACCTCCTGCCCACAGCCCTGCTGGAGGCCTGCGTGGAACCCAAAGACCTGATGACCACACTCTCCAACATGCTGCCCGTGCGTCTGGCCACGGCCATGATGGTGCCCTACACGCTGCCGCTGGAGAGTGCCGTGTCCTTCACCATCCGGTGAGGGTGGGGAGAGCGCAAGGGGAGAGGGGCTGGACCCGAGCAGGGGCTCACTCGGGGACCAGGGTGCCCGTGCCTGGGGCCCAGCCAACAGGTGGGCTGCAGCCTCTAAGGGGTGCCTCCTGCCTATCCTCAGCTTGCTGGAGTGGCTGCCCGACGTTCCAGAGGACATCCGGTGGATGAAGGAGCAGACAGGCAGCATCTGCCAGTACCTGGTGATGCGCGCCAAGAGGAAGCTGGGCAATCACCTGCCCTCCGGGTGAGCCCCCTTGGCCGCGGCGCCCCCTCCTCCAGCCCTGCCCGTGGGACCCCCCCCAGCCCTGCCTGCGGGCCCCCCCGAGCCCTGCCCGCGGGTCCCCCGAGCCCTGCCCGCCCCCCCCCAGCCCTGCCCAGCCCCCAGTCCTGCCCGCGGGTCCCCTGAGCCCTGCCCTGCCCCCCCAGCCCTGCCCGCCCCCCCCAGCCCTGCCCCCCCAGCCCTACCCAGCCCCCCCAGTCCTGCCCGTGGGTCCCCTGAGCCCTGCCCGGCCCCCCCCAGCCCTGCCCGGCCCCCCAGTTCTGCCCGCGGGTCCCCTGAGCCCTGCCCGGCCCCCCAGCCCTACCTCGTGGCTTCTTGCCCACAGGCTGTCGCAGCAGGGGGAGCTGCGCCGAGCTCAGTCGCTGCCCTCCGTGCCGCTGTCTTGTGCTACATACAGTGAGGCACTACCCACCTGGGTGCGCAACAACCTCTCACTGGGGGATGCGCTGGCCAGGTGGGAGGAGTGCCAGCGCCAGCTGCTGCTGGGGCTCTTCTGCACCAACGTGGCCTTCCCACCGGATGCTCTGCGCATGCGCGAGCCTGCTGGGCCCGCCCCTCCGGATGCCCTGCTCATGCGCGACCCTGCTGGACCCGCCTCTCCGGATCCTGCGCCTGCGCAGCACCCACCCGGCCTGCCCCCTTGCTGATCACCCTGCTCCTCCTCTGGCCCTCTCCAGCCCAGCCCTAGACTGCTGACCAAGACCCCACTCCATACTTCTTTCCGCTACTCAACGTGGAGTGAGGAGGTAGCTCTCTCACAACTGCAAAAAGGGGGCTTTGCTGTGAACCCCTTTTCACCAGCACTCACTGGTCACACTGAGTGGGGAGCCGGCGGGGCGGCCTCCACTAGGGCCACAGGGCCCTGCCCTCACGCGTGCCTTAGTCTCCCATCCACCCTTTCTCAGTGCAGTTACTCTTGAGAACTTCACGTCTCCTCATTTTCCTCTGCTCCTCCTTCCCATTTTCATATTTTACTAAAGAGTGTGTGAGATTTTATTTATTTTTGCCAAAGTAGATGTAATAAACACCACAGCTTAGCCTCTGTCTTCTTTTCTTTCTTTTTTCCAGTCCTGGGGTTTGATCTTAAGATCTTGGTACTGTCCCTGAGCTTCTTTTGCTCAAAGCTAGCACTCTACCACTTGAGCCACAACGCCACTTCCAGCATTTTCTATGTATGTGGTGCTGAGGAATTGAACCCAGGGCTTCATGCATGCTAGGCAAGCACTCTACCACTGAGCCACATTCCCAGTCTACCTTCTTTTTCTTGTTTGCTTTTTGCTTTTTTTTTTTTTGTCGGTCCTGGGGCCTGAACTCTGGGCCTAGGCGCTGTCCCTTAGCTCTTCAGCTCAAGGCAAGCGCGCTACCACTTGAACCACAGTGTCACTTCCAGTTTTCTAGTGGTTTATTGGAGATAAGAATCTCACGGAGTTTCCTGACTGGGCTTGCTTTGGACTGTGATCCTTAGATCTCAGCCTCTGAGTAGCTAGGATGACAGGCGTGAGCCACTCACACCCAGCATGATAATAAAATTAAAAAACAAAACCAAGCCTATTCTCCCGGCGTGGGTGGCTTGCACCTGTCATCCTGGCTACTGGGGCTGAGATCTGAGAATCATAGTTCAAAGCCAGCCCAGGCAGGAAAGTCTGTGAGACTCTTATCTCCAATAAACCACCAAAAAACTGGAAGTGGCCTGTAGCTCAAGTGGTAGAGGGCTAGGCTTGAGCTGAAGAGCTGAGGGACAGCGCCCAGGCCCAGAGTTCAAGCCCCATGATTGACCAAAAAAAAAAAAAAAAAGACTCCTGCTGTGACTGGCTTCAAACCTGGATCCTGGGATCACAGCCTCCTGAAGAGCTGGGATTACAGGTGTGAATGCCCAGCTTGCATCTTCATTTCTACATGTCAACCCCTTCTTTACTTGGGGCTCTGTGGGCAGAGCTGGGGTACCTGTTGACCATTGTCTACAGGGCATCAGGTCTTCCACGATTGTCTTTGGGGCCTGCTAGCTGAAGCCTCACCCCTCTGATCTATACTTCTGGCCCTAACATTCCCCTCAGGGTCAATGGATATGTCTGTCTTGGCTCAAGATCCTTGCTAACTGTAACTAAACTGTTGAGGGACCAGGGTGTAGCTAAGTGGTAGAGAACTTGCCCAACATGTCCCAGGCCCTGGATTCCATTCTCAGTGCCCGCTGGGGTGGAGGGCACACAGAACTGTTTACAAACGGGGTTACACCTCCACTCTGACCCTTGCGGAGGGCGCAGCTCCTGGGGGCTTGGAAAAGTTGGCCTCTGCGGCACCACGGGCTTCTGGCCCAGAGCTTGGTGGGTGGCCCTATTTTTCCCCAATCATCATGAGCCTCAGCGGCCAGGTGCAGGTGCTTTCTTGTGGCCCTGCTCCTATACCTGCCTCTTGCTGGGTGGAGCAGCATCGGGAGGGGTCTGGAGTCATTGCAAAGAGATCCCAGCTGAAAGCTGGCCATGTTCCCTTCCAGGAGACGTGGTTTCCAGGAAATGCCCATGCTGCAGAGGGAGCACTGGAGGGGACAAGGATCCTCGGAGGGAAGGGGGGGGGGCAGAGACGGCTTTGGCTGTTGCCCCCACTCTCAGTACTACCAGCTCAGTGCTGACAGCCCCTCCCAGAAGGTGTGGGGTGCTGTGGTAGCAGCCCCCAGCCAACAATAACGGTTGATCTGGTTGTGAGGCCTGGGACGGGACGGCAGGACTGGGTGAGCCGGCCAGGCAGGTCCCCGGTTCAGGTGCCAGGGGCGGGCCCCCTCTTGGTTTCCAGGTCTTGTCCTGTAGGCCTAGCCTGTGGTTCCACAGCCCAGCCACAGGGCTGCTGCAGGCAGGACAGGCTGCTGGCCCTCCAGGTAGGTATGGGTCCAGGCAGAGGCTGCCCAGGGGGGATGGGGGCGGGGGGGGGGGGGGAGCTCGGGGCAGTGGATGGCGCTCACTGCCACCAGGAGAGGGGCGCCCGGCGCTGGGGCCGCTCCAGGCTGACCCTCCAGAGGACCCCGGTCAGCACTGTGACCCCCTCCACACGGGGTCTTCCTGACGGCCACTTGAAGCCCCAGGATCAATGCTTGTTTAAAGATCAAGAGACCAAAAATTGGGCAAGTACAGAAAAAGGCTTCCAGACGCCACCCCCACCCCAGCCGGCCCGGCCCCCGGCCACCGGAGTGCCGGCCGCTTCCTGCCCGGCTATTTCCTCCGCAGTTTTGGCGCCCGTGCCTGGCTTCCAGCGTTGGGGGGAGGGTGTCTGCACCCCGGATCCTGACCCGGGAGGGCCCCGGGCCGCCACTGCTCCGGGGGGGACGCGCGCGGCCCGCGGGCGGCGGGGTCCGGCGGGGCGGGGCGCCGCGTTTCCGGGAGGAGCGGCGCGCACAGGTGCGGCGGAGCAGCTGGCAGGTAGGCGCGGGCGGCCCGGCCCCGCGCACCTCGGAGGGCCCGGCGGGGACAGCGCGGCGCGCACGGCCGGTGGGTCCCGGGGCGCGCGGGCGGCTCGGCCCCCGCCTCCCGTCCTCCCTGCCGTCGGCGCCGGGGCCCCGCGGCCGTGGAGCCCGGGAGCGGTGGAGGGGAGGCGCGGCGACCGTACCAGGCCCACCCCGGACCGGCGGCCTCCCGCCCAGCCGGAGCCTTCGCGGCCCTGCTGTGCTGGGGGACCGACGCCCTTCCCTAGGAAAATGGGTGGAGGGAGAATGAGCTGCTTGGAAGGACGGACCAACGGACGGGAGAGATTCCCGGATCCCAGGCCCCGTGACTGGAGAGGCGCTTAGGGTCCCCGTGACAGGTGGCCCCGAGGGGAGGGTGGAGCGCAGGCCTGGGACGTGAACCGGGAGCAGGGAGAGGGGGAGGGCCGCGGTGGGACCAGGGAGGGTGACCCCGGTGGCGGGGTGCTCAGGCCTGGAACCCCGCACCTGCCTCCCTGAGCTGCCCGGTGGGAGAGCGCAGAGGACGGGAGGGAGGAGTTGACCTGGGCATCACAGACCCCGCAGGGGGCTAAAACCTACTGGTCAGTGCAGGCTGCCAGTACTGCCAGTCTGGGATGTGGTGGGCTCTTCCCCCGCCCTCCTTCACCCCATGACCCCAGGATCTCATCCCAGCGCACCAGTCCCTTTCTGGAGAGAGCAGCCTTTCTCTGGGGCCCTGTGTCCTCCTAGTCCCAGCGTTGGCCTCCTCCCATTCCAGCGACACCCTGGGCCTCCTCGGCAGGGCACCTTCTGCCCCCTGTGGCCGCCGGGCCTTCACATCACCTGCTGCCAGAGGCCAAGCCAGCGCCCTGCCAGCGCCCAGCCGACTCTCCGTCACACAGCCCCTCCTCCTTTAACCCCCCTTGCTCCACAGCACCTGGCTGCATCAAGACCCTGCCCCCATGGCCAGCCACAGAAAGCCTGGGGCTGGGGAGGCCCCACCGGCGGAGGAAGGGGAGGAAGGGACCTCTGCCAGGCTGCCGACGGAGGAGGTGCTGCAGCAGGCCCAAGAGCTCTTCTTGCTGTGTGACAAGGAGGCCAAGGGCTTCATCACCAGGCACGACCTGCAGGTGAGTCCGGGTTTCAGGAGGTACTCGGGGCCCCCAGCTGGCCCTGGCTGCTCATGATGCCCTCCTCCTGGCCAGGGACTGCAAAGCGACCTGCCCCTCACCCCGGAGCAGCTGGAGGCTGTGTTTGAAAGCCTGGACCAGGCTCACACCGGCTTTCTCACGGCCCGGGAGTTCTGCCTGGGCCTGGGTAAGCAGGGGCCCTGCCTGCTCTCAGCCACCTGGAGACCAGGGCCTTCCTTCCCCGGCCCACGAGCAGCCCCGTTCCTCTCACTCCCCGCCTGGTGTGGAGGCAGGGGTCCTGCAGGACCGGCCCCACCCTCCTGTTGAGCACAGCCTTGGCCTCCTGTCCCCTGCCCACCGGACCCAGACGGGGCTGGGAGCCTGGTGTCACCTCCCATTCCCAGGCCCCTGGAACCAGAATAAGGAAGAAAAACAGGAAACTGGGCCGAGAGAGAGGCCGGGATGTGCGCCGGGAGGAAGGCCGGGGTGGGCGCCCGCAGTCCCGCCAACCCCTGCCTCCCACCCCATCCCGCAGGGAAGTTTGTGGGGGTGGAGCCGGCCACGCGCCCCTCTCCGACCCCCGAGGAAACGTTCGAGTGCGGCTGGCCGGATGTGCGGGGCGCCGCGGTCCCTCCGGAGGAGGAGGATGCCGAGAGCGTCTGCCCCGCGCTGGAGCAGCTGGGGGTGGCCCGGGTCCTGGGCGAGTGAGTGGGGCTGGGGCTGCGGCGCGTGTGCGGACCCGGCCCGCGCCCGGCGGGAGGGCGGCCCGACGGCGGCCGAGCTGGGGCCCCGCCCGCGCCGGCGGCCGGCTCTGCGGGCCCTGATTTCCCGCAGGATTTGCCTTCCGAGAGGCCGCGGCCGCGGGTGCCGGGCGGGGGCGCTGCGGAGTCCCGGGTCCAGCCGGGGCCGGCGCAGCTCGTCGGGCGCCGGGCCGGTGGGCAGCGCCCTCCCGAGGGCCGCGCCTGTCCCGCCCGCCAGCCCCAGCCCCCTCTCCGCCCCTCGCCGCAGGCAGCGGGCGGTGCGGGCGCTCTGGGCGCGGCTGCAGCGCGAGCGGCCCGAGCTGCTGGGCGCGCTGGAGGACGTCCTGGTGCGCGCCTCGGCCTGCCTGGAGGCGGTGGCCCGGGAGCGGGACGGCCTGGAGCAGGCGCTGCGGCGGTGAGGGCGGGCCCGGGGGCCCGGGGGGCCCGGGGCAGAGCCCGCCTCCCTCCTTCCCACGACGGCGCGCCCGCTCTCCGCAGGCGCGAGAGCGAGCACGAGAGGGAGGTGCGCGGCCTCTACGAGGAGCTGGAGCAGCAGCTCCGGGAGCAGCGCGCGCGGCCGAGCCAGGTGGGCCGCCCGCCCCCGAGCCCCTCCCCGAGCCTGCGCCGTCGGGGCGGGCCGAGGCTTACGAGCCCCGGTGCGTCTCAGAGCCTCCCCCGCGAGGAGCTGCGGGGTCGCCTGGAACTGGAGCTGCTGAGCCGCGAGCAGGAGCTGGAGCGCGCGGGCCAGCGGCAGCGGGAGGTGAGCGCCGCGCCGCCCCACAGGCCCCGCCCCCGGCCCCACAGACCCCGCCCCTGCCAGGCTCGGCCCCACCCAGCAGGCCCCGCCCCCGTCAGGCTCGACCCCACCCCCGGCAGACCCCGGCCCCTCCCCGCCCCATCCCCGACAGGCCCCGCCCCCGGCCCTACAGGCCCCGCCCCCGGCCAGACCCTGCTCCAGTCCCACCAGGCCCCGCCCCCGGCAGGCCCCGCCCATGCCCCGCCCCCTGCCAGGCCCGGCGCGCGCCCACGTTCCCCGGGGGAGCCACGGGCCCTCCTCGCCAGCCTGCACCCCGACACCCCTAGCTGGAACAGGAGCTGCAGGCTCGCGCCGCGGAGCACCGGGAAGCGCAGGCCCAGCACGGCCAGCTGCTGCGGGCCTACCAGGCGCTGCGCACGCAGCTGGACGGGGCGCAGGAGCGGCTCCGCCGGCTGGAGGGCGACGCGCAGGGCCGCCTGGAGCAAACCCAGAGGTGCGGCGCGGGCGGGGCCGGGCCCCGGGCGCGGGACTGCGAGGGCCGGCGGCTCTCTCTGGGTTCTGTCTCAGAACCAGCGCTGCCCCGGGGGCTGAGGGGTTCGGGTGGAAGGCCCTCTGGGAGGTCTGGGGGTCGTCGGCCTGCATCTGGTCCCCCTTCACCCTCAGGGACGTGGTTGCTGTCTCTCGGAACATGCAGAAAGAGAAACTGAGCCTCCTAAGGCAGCTGGAGCTGCTCAGGTGCGGACGGACAGGGCTCAGCGGGGCTTGGGGCTCCGCGCTCCCAAATATCCTGGGCTTCGGCCCCGTTGCAGGAGGAGGAGGTGCTTGCCTATGTCTGCCCTCCACCGCTCAGGCCCGAGGCCCACCCCAGATCTCCGACCCCGAGATCTTAGCCCCTCGGCCTTCTCAGCCCTCACACCGCCCTCCACAGGGAGCTGAATACGAGGCTGCGAGATGAGAGAGATGCGTGTGAGGTCCTGGCCACAGCCGGAGCACCCGGGCCCTGCTGCTGCTGCTGCTGCTGCTGCCGCCGCCGTGGCTGGGCTGGGCCCCCCAGACGGGGCTCCGGCCACCTTCCCAGTGCCTGACCATCAGGACACGCGACTCCCTGTGTGTTACCTGCAGGAGCTGCGTCTTGAAGGAGTTTCTGGGATGGGCTCATGCACTCGGGTGCGCTCTACCTGGCTTCCTGCCTGAAGGAAGACAGGGTCTTCTGTGCCCCTTCTCTGTCCAGCAACAGCAGCAGAGCCTTCTGTCCAATAAAGCCCACCGAAGGCCCTGTCGTTGGCCTTTGCGTGTCTGTGGCCTGCACACGTGGCTCGTGGCTCTGCGCGCTGGGCCGCACATCTGCGGGTGTGATCTCTTAGGGAGAGGTCTCTGCCGTGCTCTGAGGCCTCACCACCCACCAAAGCTCAAGCTCCAAGCCAGGAATCTGGGGCGCACACCTGTAATCTAGCTCTGCTCAGGAGGCTTAGGTAGGGGATAGCGGTTCAGAGCTGGCCCGGGGGGGAAAGCCCCGGAGACCACCGCCAGGACAAGCTGGCCAGAAGCTGGGTCGGAGGAGGGCTGGCAGCCTGCGCTCAAGCCCCAGCCACGCAGGAAGGGTCTAGAAGGCTCCAGGGACCTGGCTCTCGCGAAGCTTCCTTCCCCGCGCATCCCCCAAGAGCAACGAGTGCGTTCTCATCAGCTCGCAGTCGCTGCCAGCCCGTGTGCGGGCCGGAGCCCGGCGGTAACCGTCCAGCCCGGCCGGACCTCACTCCCAGCGCCCGGCCCCGACCCCGGATCCTCCCGAGCCCGCCAGACGCCCACCGCCCCAGGCGGTCGTCAGTGCCTCCGGGGGCGGGGCCGACGCCGGGCCCAGCCTCCGGCTGCGGGGCCGGGGGCTCGCGGGGCTGGGGGCGTCCCCAGGCCGACGCGCCGCCCCGCCGGCTCCGGCCCGCCAGCCGCAGCGCGAGTCCGGACCCGCCGGCGCCGGCCGGCCGGGGGCGGGGCTCACGCGGGGGCGGGGCCGTCGGCCAGGGGCGGGGCCTGTGACGCGTGGTCGGGCGGGGCGTGCCGGGGCGTGTCTCCGTAGGCCCGGGGCCGCGCATTCTCGGCGTCCGGAGCCGCCGCCCCCGCGAGCCTCCGCCCGGCTGGGACTCCGACGCGCGGTCGGTGAGTGCGCCGCGGGGCCCGGCTGCCGAGTGAGACCCGGTCGGTGGCTCCGGGGGCGCCCGGGAGCCCGCGTCCACGGGACCGGGCCGCAGCCCCGCGCGGGCCTGTCCGGGAGGGAGACCGGTGCCGGGCGCGTCGGAGCCCGCGGGGAGGGCAGGCCCGGGTCCCGGAAGGCGCAGCCCGGGCGCCGGGCTCTCCGTCCGGGCCCCGGGCCCCGCGCGCGGTGGGCGGGCCGTCGCTGCGCCCGCGCGGGGCGGGGCCGCGGGGCCCCGGGGCGGCCGCCCGGCTCCGGCGGAGGGCCGGGCTGCTGGGGCCCGTCCAGCGCTGGAGCTATTTCTGGCCCGCCGGCTTCCTCTGGCCCTTTCCCGGGACGCACATCCGCCCGGCCCTTGGGCGAAGCGGGGCCGCGCCGCCGGGTGCGGAGTCCTGGCCCGGGGCCAGGGTCCGGTCCGGGGTCCTGCGCCGCGCAGGGCTGCGTCCCAGCCCCCCGAGGCAGCGGGCGGCCGCGGCCCGGCCCCGGGGGAGGCCTGGGCTCCCCAGCGCGGCGCCTTTTCTCCCGGGCAGCCCGGAGGGGGGTTGGATGACCCGTCTGGGGCTCAGGCCCAGGCCTTAATTAGAGCCGCGGCCCTGCCCTCCCGGGGCCGGCCGTCCAGAAACGCCCCCTCCCCCGCTCAGACCGAAATGCCCGGCCCGGCCCGCTGGCCTGGGCCCCGGCCTCTCCCTCCAGCGGGCGAGGCCCCGCCGAGGCACCTGCGCCCGCCGTTCTGGAGGCGCGGGTCCCGGGGCTGGGTGGGTGGGGGCGGAGTCGAGCCCGGGGCTCCCAGCTCCGCACCCGCCCGCCGCCCCTCGGCGCGCTCGGGGTCGCCGTCCCCTCCAGCTCCGGTCTGGGGCTCCTCCCGCCGGCCCGGCCCTCCGCTGCCCCCGGTGGAGGAAGGCGAGGCCGCGCAGAGCCTGGCCGCGCTCCCGCCGCGGGCTCGGGGGTTTGCTTCCTGTCCGCCGGTAACGTGCGCCGGGCGCCGGGGTCTGCCGGCCGGCGTGAGTCAGCAGCCGACGGGCGCCAGGCACCCACGTGCGCCCCGGGGCCGGGGGCTGCGCTGCTGAGCTTTGTCCGGGGAGTGACTCAAGCGGGGTCCGCCGCGGTCCCGGCGCTGCGGGCCCTGTGACCCCCGACCCCCTGCCGGCCCTGTGACCCCCGACTCCCCCCCCCCACCGCTGCCGGCCCTGTGACCCCCGCCCCCCCTGCAGGCCCTGTGACCCCCGACCCCCTGCTGGCCCTGTGACCCCCGACCCCCTGCCGGCCCTGTGACCCCCGACTCCCCCCCCCTCCTCCCCCCCCCCCCCCCCCCCGCGCTGCCGGCCCTGTGACCCCCGCCCCCCCTGCCGGCCCTGTGACCCCCGACTCCCCCCCCCCGCCCCCCCCCCCCCGCGCTGCCGGCCCTGTGACCCCCGACTCCCCCCCCTCCTCCCCCTGCGCTGCCGGCCCTGTGACCCCCGCCCCCCCTGCCGGCCCTGTGACCCCCGACTCCCCCCCCTCCTCCCCCTGCGCTGCCGGCCCTGTGACCCCCGCCCCCCCTGCCGGCCCTGTGACCCCCGACTCCCCCCCCTCCTCCCCCCGCGCTGCCGGCCCTGTGACCCCCGACCCCCCTGCCGGCCCTGTGACCCCCGCCCCCCCTGCAGGCCCTGTGACCCCCGCCCCCCCTGCAGGCCCTGTGACCCCCCGCCCCCCCTGCAGGCCCTGTGACCCCCGACCCCCGTCCCCCCTGCAGGCCCTGTGACCCCCGCCCCCCCTTCAGGCCCTGTGACCCCTGACCCCCCCTCCCCCCCCCCGTGCTGCAGGCCCTGTGACCCCCGCCACCCCCGCAGCTCAGCATGGGCGAGTTCAAGGAGAAGAAGGCCACGTGCGGCACCGTCTGCCTCAAGTACCTGCTGTTCACCTACAACTGCTGCTTCTGGGTGAGAAGATGCGGCCGGCTCTGCCTCCACCCTCCCTGAATCTACTGCTTCTGGGGCCGGAGCCACCTCCTCTCTGCCCCCCTGCTCTGGATGCTGGCGCCCTCCCCTCCCGCTCACAACGCTGCTTCCAGGGCGGCCCCTCCCTCTGCCCCCCCCCCCCCCAGGGTCATGGCTCTGGAGGCCGGACATGACGCGTGCTCACTGTCTGCAGCTGGCTGGCCTGGCTGTCATGGCCGTGGGCATCTGGACCCTTGCCCTCAAGAGCGACTACATCAGCCTGCTGGCCTCCAGCACCTACCTGGCCACCGCCTACATCCTGGTGGTGGCTGGGGTTGTTGTTATGGTAACTGGTGTTCTGGGCTGCTGCGCCACCTTCAAAGAGCGGAGGAATCTGCTGCGCTTGGTCAGTAGGCACAGAAGGGGTGAGGGTACTGGGCAGTGGCTCACGGGCCTCCTGGAGGCTCTGGGGTCCAAGGGGGTGGGAGCGGCCCCTCCTCGTCTGACCTGGCTGAGGGCGTAGACCAGCTCTGAGGGAGGCTCAGAGCTGGCCCCTCCTGCTGGGGCCCCTTTGGGTGGGACCCCCGACCTAGACCACCTCCTCGGGTCTGTGCCCCACAGTACTTCGTCCTGCTCCTCCTCATCTTTCTGCTGGAGATCATTGCTGGCATCCTGGCCTATGTCTATTACCAGCAGGTAAGGGGCCTGGACCAGCCTGGGGGTGTGGGGGCATGCAGGGAGGCGCGGGCAGAGGGCAGAGCTGCAGCCCTTGCCTGCAGCTGCCCTTGTTGGGGCTCACAGAGGACGCAGGCACCCAGGGCATCGCGAGACCCTGCTCGTACCTGCCTGTGGGCCTCTGGTGGCCCCAGCTCCACAGCTAGCTGTGTCTGACCCTGGTCCTTCCATCCCAGGCTTTTTATTTTTTTTATTTGACTTAGTTTTTTGATGCTGGTCCTAGGGCTTGAGATAGCTCCACATTTGCCTTTTTTCTTTGGTGATTAGTTGAAGATAACAGTTTCATGGACATTCCTGCTTAGGCTGTCTTTGAACCTCAATCCTCAGTTCTCAGCCTAAGTAGCTAGGACTATAGGCATGAGCCACTGGCACCTTGCCATATTTGGGCTCAAGACTAGTGCTCTACAATCGAGCCATAGCTCCATTTCCAGCTTTTTGATGCTTAATTGGAGATGAGTCTCAAGACTCTAATGCTTGGGCTAGCTTTTTGTTGTTGTTGGTTGGGAGGGCTTGACATCAGGGCATGGGCACTCACCCTGAGTTCTTTTTTTTTTTTTTTGTCGGCCATGGGGCCTGAACTCTGGGCCTGGGCGCTGTTCCTCAGCTCTTCAGCTCAAGGCTGGCACTCTACCACTTGAGCTACAGCCACTTCTGGTTTTCTGGTGGTTTATTGGAGATAGGAGTCTCACGGTCTCTCCTGCCCGGGCTGGCTTTGAACCGCAATCCTCAGATCTCAGCCTCCTGAGTAGCTAGGATTACAGGCGTGAGCCACCAGCGCCCGGCACCCTGAGTTCTTTTGCTCAAAGCTAGAGTTTACCACTTTGAGCCACAGTGCTACTCAGGTTTTCTGGTGGTTAACTGGAGATGAGTCTCATGGATTTTCCTGCCCAGGCTGGCTTTGAACCATGATCCTCAGACCTCAGCCCCCTGAGTAGCTAGGATTACAGGCATGAGCCACAGGTGCCCAGCTCGGGCTTTTTTACCAGGATCCTCAGATAAGCCCCAGCACTACCAAAAAAAGAAAAAAAGAAAAAAAAACAAACAAGTAGAGTGAAGAGCCAGGCGCCAGTGGCTCACACCTGTGACCCCCTCAGGCTGAGGTCCTGTGGTTCATACCTGGGTGACCCCTCAGGCTGAGGTCCTGTGGCTCACACCTGTGACCCCCTCAGGCTGAGGTCCTGTGGCTCACACCTGTGACCCCCTCAGGCTGAGGTCCTGTGGCTCACACCTGTGACCCCCTCAGGCTGAGGCCCTGGGTCCTGGGCTGGCCTCTCAGTACCCTGGTAGGCCTCAACTCAGCACACTCTCTCCCCAGCTAAACACAGAGCTCAAGGAGAACCTGAAGGACACCATGACCAAGAGGTACCACCAGCCGGGCCACGAGGGTGTGACCAGTGCTGTGGACAAGCTCCAGCAGGAAGTAGGTGTTGGGTAGGGCTTGGCTTGCCTGCGGCCCCCGGCCAGCTCAGTGCCGGTTCAGTGCCACCGGCCGCAGGCTCAGCTCCTCGCATTGCAGTTCCACTGCTGTGGCAGCAACAGCTCCCAGGACTGGCGGGAAAGCGAGTGGATCCGCTCCGGGGAGGCAGGTGGCCGCGTGGTCCCTGACAGCTGCTGCAAGACCATCGTGCCAGGCTGTGGGCTTCGGGACCACGCTTCCAACATCTATAAGGTGGAGGTAGGTGTGCAGGGGATGTGGGCCTGGCAGCCACAGGCCCGGGCGGCCCCTGGACCCCACTCACCACTTTCCACCCTGCAGGGCGGCTGCATCACCAAGCTGGAAACCTTCATCCAGGAGCACCTGAGGGTCATCGGGGCTGTGGGCATCGGCATTGCCTGCGTGCAGGTGGGCCAGGGGCCTCGGTGGGGCCCAGAGGTGGGTGGGCAGTGGGCAGCCCTGGCCCTCACTCCTGCTGTCTGGCTCTGCGCAGGTCTTCGGCATGATCTTCACGTGCTGCTTGTACCGGAGCCTCAAGCTGGAGCACTACTGACCACCAGGCCCCGCCTGGCCCCCGCCACCCGTCCCACTGACTACTGAGCTGACTGCTGACAGGCCACTCTCCCGCTGCACCCTCATCCGTGACCCCTGGCAGCCCACCCCTGGGTGGGTGGCCGCAAGTGCCTTTTACTCACGCCCAGCCTGCGCCTGTGGGAGGCTGTCGCCTCTGGGGCTCGCTGGTAGGCTTACCCAACTGAGACAGTGGGCGGTAGGGGCAGCTTGCCTCTGCTCGGAGTCCGGCCATCTGTCCCGCGGCATGCCCTCTACGTGGGGTCAGCGGCAAGCAGGCTGTTGGATGGCACATGCGGGGCATCTCGCAGGCCCAGGCGCCCCTTGTGCCCGCCCCTGGGGAAGCGCACAGCAGGCCCTCAGCTGCTTGGCTCCCTCCCATCTGGGAGCTGAGGAGCGCCTGCTCAGTGGCCTGCGCCCCTGCCCCACCCCTCCCCTGCTCCTAGCAGCCACAGCCCTGGTTTGACCCTTCCCACTGCTCTTAACACCACTCCAGATGCTGCGTTCATGTGTGCACGCCCACCTGCCAGGTGTCCTGTGTGGGCATATGTTTTTACTCACTGTACTACAGACCCCCACAGCTGCTCCTGCCATTGCAGGTGCTCAATAAACGTTTGTTGAACAGTTGGGCCCGTGTGCGGTCAGCGGTCCGGTGCTCAGCAGGGTGGACACACCTCCCAGGTCAGCATGCAAAAGGCCCGCCATGCTAGGGCTTGTCCCTAGGGTCTAAGGTGATGGGAACACCCAGTGGCTGGGACCACAGAGTAGTCACACTGGCAAGTCCTGGGGTTTTACATTTATTAGGCTGGCGCTCTACCACTTGAGCCATTCCCCATGCCTCTAGCCTGGCTTTTTACTTATTCCCAAGGACATTTTTGTATGAGTTAGCTTCAAACTGGTCTTCCAGACCTCAGCCTGCTGAGCAGGAGTACGAGTATGAGCCCCTGAGACAGCCTGGTGTTCTTGCAGGGTGGGGCCCCCTGCAGAGGAAATGAGGCTGACCTGGAGCAGCCTGCACATCTTCTGCCCAGGGCGGCCTGAGCTGTCACTTGCTTATGATTCCCAGAGACTTTCTAGCCCTGGGAGGCTCATGTTAGACGGAGACTGCGGGGCAGGCCGAGGACCAATGGTCTAGGAGATGGTAGAGCGGGCCAGGTGTCCAGGGGCAGCCAGCGTATGCAGCGGCGCTGCAGGGCTGGAGACACACAGGAAAGCCTCAAGGCTTGGCTCCCATCTCCTCTGCCTCAGCGTGTGGACTGTGTCCCACAAGGTACAACGTCAAGACCTCTATCTAGAGGAAGTACCCGAGAAGAGTCACGTCCCCACACCTGCCAGCCAGACCCACACCAGGGGCATGACTTCCACCTTTTTTTTTTTGGTGCTGGTCCTGGGACTTGATCTGGGCACTGTACCTGAGCTTTTTTGCTCAAGAACAGTGCTCTATCACTTGAGCTTACAGCTCCACTCACAGCTTTTTGCTGGGTGGTTAATTGGACTTTTCTGCCCAGGCTGCCTTTTTTTTTTGCCAATCCTGGGGCCTGAACTCAGAGCCTGGGTACAGTCCCTGAGCTTCTTTTGCCTAGGTTAGCAGTCTACCACTTAAGCCCCAGCAGCACTTCCGGCTTTTTCTGCGTATGGGGGGGTCAGGCTTGCTAGGTTAGCATTCTACCACTAAGGCACATTCCCAGCCCCCCAGGCTGGCTTTGAACTGCAAATTTTAGATCTCAACCTCCGGAGTAGCTAGGATTATGGTATGAGCCAGGGGTGTTGGGCTTAACTTCCACTTCCTATAAACCCAAGCCTGGGATTATGTGCTAGGGCACCTTGGTGCCCGCCCTGCCAGAGGGAAGGGTAGGCGTCAGGGCTGGTCGGGGCGGGGTGCAGCCCTCCTCTGCAGGAACCTGGTCACGGGGCAGGGCTGCTCTGCTCTCCTGTGGGGTCTGGAGAGCTATGGGTGTGGCAGCAGGTGGGACCAGGCAGCTGTGACCACAGCAGGTGCTTTTCAGGCTCTAAACAACCTGGTTCTTCAGATTCTAGAAGGGCTGGAATCATGACGCAAGTGTAGACCATATTCCTAACAAGCAGAAAGCTCTGAGCTTGAACAGCACCAAGTAAAAACAAAGATTCAGAGAGGGGCTAGGAACGAAGAATGACTCCCACCTCCGCTGTGTGGATGTGTCCTCTTCCAGGACAGCAAGGGCCATCATCACCTGCCAACCCCCTCAGGGGAGGCTCTGAGGGGAAGACAGGACTGGAAGGCCCAGGGCCTCAGCAGCTGGGCCTTTCTACAGCACACTGTCCCCATGGGAATGGCTGGGTCAAGACTTTGCCTCTGACGTCTCTGAGGAGACCAAGGGAGCAGAAATAAGGGCTCCCACAAGACAGGCCACAGGGAGCCCCAGAAAAGCAGACCAACAAGCAGGACCTACTGGTTCTACAAAGACTTTACTGAGTGCTTCTGTCCAGAATGGGCGCCGTGGACTCACAGCATCAGAGGCAGGCATTGCCGCGGACCCGCCCAGGCCTCATCCTGAGCTCAGTGTGGTGCTGACCACCGTGGTCAGCAGAGGCCAAGATGCGTCCGTCACTTCTCCAGAGGTGCATAGTTGAGCAGCTTCTCAATGAGGTCCACGTGTGCTAGCAGCATGCGGCGGCAGCAGTAGCGCTTCAGACCCAGGGCATCCAGGGCGTCCCTGTGAGGGAAGCGGGTGAGTGGGCTGGGGCTGTGGTGGGCACAGCCTGAGCCACCCCCACTGGTATCTGGGGGTGCTCTCTCCCCTCTCCCCCTCTCATCAAGGTCTCCCTGGGTCATGGCTAAGGCACAGCAGCATGATCCAGGTGAACTGACTTGGAAATGCGGGAAGTGTGCCCCTAGAGGCCTAGAAGGCGGTAGGGCAAGCCCCCTCTTCCAGCTGCACGGCTGGAGGACCTGAGTTTCCAGATCACACCCTCCCTGCCCACCCTCCAATCCCATGCCCAGGGTCGCTCTGTGGGGACTTCCAGGGCTATCTGTGTGCTCTCCCTTGGCTCTCCAGGAAACCACCCTTTCCATTCCCCAAGCCAATCAGAAGCCTCAGGCACTTTGCAGTTCCAGGGTGTCAGGTGGGAAGGCGGCGGCAGGATGGGGTGGAGGGCTCCTGCCAAGGTATTCCTATGGACTCTGGGACTGAGCAGCCTCTCCACCGATGACCTCCCCATGGTAGGGGCACCTGGGAAATAGGGGCCCTGAAGACACACAGCCCCCACAGGAAGGTGGATCAGACTGCGGAGGTGGTCCTGGGGACCGACGCAGGGTCTCCTGCTCTTGCATGCCTTTCGTGGTTCAGGGATGGTGCTCTACCGCTCGAGACATGGCTCAAGTGTTTTGGCTGACTATCTGGAGATGAGAGGGCCCCACGGGTTTGTCTACTAGGCTGGCTTTGGGACAGGATCCTCAGACCTCTGCCTCCTGGTGGCTGGGAAGTGGGAGCGGCGCTGCGGCTCAGGGACAGTTTGGGGCCCGAGTTCGGGCCCCCGGCCCGACAGACACAGAACAACAAGGCCTAAAGCCCAAGCAGCTAAGGCAAAGCACAGGCGCCAGTTCAAACTGCAGCAGGCGCCGGCGGCTCCACGGTCCTGCCGGCACCGCGACCCCCGGGCTCCCGCGGGGGGGACAGGGGAGGGGAGGGGGGGACGCGGGGCGGGGGGGAGGAGAGGGGGGGACGCGGGGCGGAAGGGGAGGAGAGGGGGGGGAAGCGGGGGGGGGGGGGAGGCGGAGGGGGGAAGGCGGACGCGGGGGGGGGGGGAGGCGGAGGGGAGGGGGGAAGGAGGGGGGGACGCGGGGCGGAAGGGGAGGAGAGGGGGGGACGCGGG